CTTGCTGCCACGGGGCCTTTGCACATGCTGTTCACATTATCTGGAAAGCCTCCCTTATTTTCATCTTACTCATTCTCCATAGGGAAACGTCCCCATGTCCTTCTGGCCAGTAGATCAGGAGCTGTTCCCTGGCATGCTAAATGCTCTCTTCAGCTCCCTCTCTGGGGGTGGGAGGGAAGAGGACAAATGCAGGTTGATACCTCAGAGTGTGGCTGCTGGAGCCAGAGTACCTGGCTTTAAATCTAGCTCTGCAGCTTTCCAGGTGCGTGACTACCTGCGGGCAAGTCATGTCACCTGTCAGACCCTCGGTTCCCTCATCTGTAAAATGGGCCAGAAATAGCAACTACCTCACAAAGTAGCTTTGTGGATGAGAGATGTTAACATGTGACGAAGTGCCTAGAGAAGTGCCTAGAACAGTGCCCGACACATACTTAGCTTATAGAAGTATCTGCTGTGGTTGTTACTGTTACCACTTTTTCTAAGGGTGTCTCTTCTGTAGTTGAGTAGTTGCTTGGTTAATGAGATCGGTCCTCTTCCTCATCAGAGTGGGAGCTCCTCAGAGTGCAGCCTGGGTCTGCTTTTGCTCACTGCTGTGGATTCAGCACCAGGCCTGGCCCTGGCTCGGCATGCAGCAAATCCTCCCTTGTCGTGGGAGTGGATATGTCCCGCCCCACAGTGACCTGGGCATCGCGGAGCCCGTGGGGCCTGCCACGCTCGGGCAGTCGGGCCCTGTAGCTCGTGCTCTGACAAATCTGCATGGTGGAGGGGGTACAGTGGGCCCACGAGACGTCCATCTATAGCAGCCACCCTCCATACTACCCACCCCACACATCTCAGTCTAAACTGGGTAGGGAGAGGGAGTGAGTAAGCAGAATGTTATTTTTGTAGCCAAGTAGGAGAAGCGATGAATTTTTCATGTCCCGTTGGAACTCCAGCTCCTCCTCACCAGTCATGCCGCGTGGAGCAGTGGCTGTGCACAGTGGGCTCATTCCCGAGGAGGGCCTCGTGACTCCCGCTCCCCTCGCCCCGAGCCCAGGACTCGGCGAGCCTCCGGTGTCAGTAGATGCTCCTCGTCTTCCAGGAGGAGAAAACAGGGCCACGCAGGCCGTGGAGCGAGGATGGGAGGCCTGTTGGCGGGGGTCCCCACG